GTCAGCAAGTGGCCTAACTCACGTTTCCCAAACCAACCATGAAAATTCAGCCAAAAACCTTAACTGACAAACAAAATCTGTGGTCTTTGTGCAAACAGTGATGAGCAGCCTCATTGTTATGGATACAACCAGCACTGAGGTAGAATTGCCTGTGTTGTTTTCTTTCTAATGTTACAAGTGCCTTTAGATCACTGAAATAGTATCTATGTCACATGTGCACATTGGAGTATTTGTACTGATGTTGTATTGGCGAGATTCCTAAATATGTATACAATGAATGGCCGTCGCAAGTATGCAGAACAAGCCACGGCATCAAATCAACATGAAGCACTGGTTTTAAAGCAACTGTGGCAATTTGGGCCTCTGTGATCCAGCTAATTCCCTCATTTAACCTGTACAGTACAACGTATGTTCACCTGTGGGTACAGTTCACAGCAGCATGGAAAGATATCATCAACTACTAATAGGATAGTTGTTGGTCAATTTCTTCTGGCTGTTCCTTTAATATTTCACCACCATCACCATCAGCAGTATTTTCTGATGTACCAACAGGAAATATCCAGCAGAGGTGGTGTAGTAGTGTTATAGTCTAAGGAAAGAGTTGCCCCAGGAGTCATGAACATTGAGTCTGGATCCCATGAAGTCTCAGATTTGATGTGGACAAGGAAATCTCTTTCTGATAACCAAAAACCATGCTGCCCCCTCAACTGATGAATTCATTCTCCTTCATGTTGAACAGTACTTAGAGGTTCCACTGAGCGTGGCAATGGCATGGGATTTATTTTCTGCAGAAGATTTCAATGTCCATCTCTAAGAGTAGCTTGGGAGCAGCATTACTGCCCAAACTGGTAGAACCCTAAAGGACATAACTGCTAGCCGAGGCTTGTGGCAAGTGGTGAGGGAACCAACAAGAGGAAAAACCATACTTGACCTCATCCTCACTAATCTACCTGCTCCAAATGCATTTGTCAATGACAGTGTCAGTAGGAGTGACCACCTCAAAGTCCTTATGAAGACAAAGTACAGCCTTCATGATACACTTTATCATGTTATGTGAAACTGCCACTGTGGGAATGGGATGGACTTTGAATATATCCCAACAATTCAAATCTGGGCAACCATGAGCATCAGCTTCAAAACTGTATTCAACAACATTATGCAACCCTGTGGCTCTGTATATCCCCCAATCTACCATGACCATCAAGCGAGGGCATCAACCCTGGTTCAATGGAGAGTGTGCAGCATGGCTTGCCAGGAACAGTATCAGACATACCTAAAAATGAAGTATCAACCTAGTGAAGCTAAACAGAACTACTTGTATGCCAAACAATATAAGCCACAAATGATAGATAGAGCTAAGTGATCCTACTACCAATGGATCAGATCTAAACTCTGCAGTCCTGCCACATCTAGTTGTGAATGGTGGCAAACAATTAAACAACTCACTGGAGGAGAAGGCTCCACAAATAGCCCCAAACTCAAAGATAGAAGAGCCCGATACATCAGTGCAAAAGATAAGGCTGAGGCATTTGTAACGATCTTCAGCCAGAAGTGCAAAGTGGAACATTCGTCTCAGCTTCCTCTAGAGGTAACCAGCATCACAAATGCTAGTCTTCAGCCAATTTGATTCACTCCCTGTGATATCAAGGAACAGTTGAAGACTCTGGATACTGTAAAGGCAAGGACCACATTCCGGCGATAGTACTGAAGACTTGTGCTCCAGACCTTGCCGCACCCTGAGCCAAGCTCTTCCGTTACCTGACAATGCAGAAAATTGCCCAGCTATATCCAACCCAGCCTTGTTACCACTCCATCAGTTTCCTGTTGATCTTCAGTAAAAAGAATGTGAGTTGTCATCAACAGTGCAATCAAGCAGCTCCTGCTTAGCAATAACCTGCTCAGTGACGCCCGTTTGGGTTCTGCCAGGGCCACTCTCCTCCTGAACTCATTTACAGCCTTAGCACAAACATAGATAAAACAGCTGAATTCCAGACAGTCACAGCCCTTGACATCAAGGTTGAATTTGATTGTTGCAGCAAGGAGAAAACTGGAGTTAAAGAGACCTAAGGGGAAAACCTCTCCACTGGTTGGAGCCATGAAGATGTGATGTGAAACTGCCACTTTGGGAATGGGATAGACTTTGAAAATATCCCAACAATTCAAGTCGGGGCATCCATGAGCATCAGCTTCTGAACTGTATTCAATAACATTATGCAACCCTGCGGCCCTGTATATCCCCCACTCTACCATGACCATCAAGCCAGGGCATCAACCCTGGTTCAATAGAAGATGGTGGTGGTTGTTGGAGGTCAGTCATGTCAGGTCCAGAACATCTCTGCAGGAATTCCTTGAGGTAGTGTCCTAAGCACAACCATCTTCAGCTCCTTCATCAATGACCTTCTCTCCATCATTAGGTTAGAAGTAGAGATGCTTGCCAATGATTGCACAATATTCATCACCATTCATGTTTCCTCAGATACTAAAATGGTCCATGTTCAAATGCAACAAGATCTAAACAATATCCAGGCTTGCACTGTCAAATGATAAGTAACATTTGCACTACACAAATGACAGGCTATGATAAGAAAGCTATGATTGCTTCCAATAAGAAGCAATCTAACCACCACCCCTTGATATATTCAATGGTGTTACCATCACTAATCCCCTGGAAGTTGCCATTGACCAGAACTCAACTGAACTACAGTGGCTACAAGAGCAGGCAAGAGGCTAGGAATACTGCACCAAGTAACTCACTTCCTGACTCCCAAAGCTCATCTACCATCTACAAGGCACAAGTTAGGAATGTGATGGAATACATCTCACTTTCCTGGATGAGCGTAGCTCTAACAACACTCAAGAAGCTCAACCCCATGTAGGACAAAGCAGCCCACTTGATTGACACCACATGTTCAAACATTCACTCCCTCTATCACTGACAGTCAATAACAGCTGTGTGTACTATCTGCAAAAAGTTCTTCAGAAATTCACCAAAAATTCTCAGATAGCACCTTTCAAACCCAATGACCACTTACATTTAGAAGGTCAAGGGAAGCAGATATATAAGAATAGCACCACCTTCAAGTTTCCCTCCAAGCCACTCACTATCCTGACTCAGAAATATATCACAATTCCTTCAGTGTCACTGCCTCTCTGAAGGCATTGTGGGTCTACCTACAACACAGGGTGTACAGCAGTTCAAGAAAGCAGCTCAAAGGCAACAAATTCTGGCTCAGCCAGTGATGCCCACATCCCACAAGTGAATAAAAAGAAAACAAAATTGGTGCTTATTGAAATTTGCTGTAAGCACTTCAAATCAGGTATATAATATATTATAGAATTCCTACAGACAGAGGCCATTTGATCTATCAAGTCTGCACCAACCCTCTGAAGAGTCTCCCACTGACACCCGCCTCATGCAACCCTACAAGTACAATAACTAAGCTACCTAGCCTGCACATCCTTGGATACTACAGGACAATTTGGCATGGCCAACTCATGTAGCCTGCACATCTTTTAACTGTGGGCTTAAACTAGTGCACCTAGCAGAAATTCACACAGCCATGTGGAGAACATACGAAGTCCACACAGACAGTCACCCATAGCTGAAATCAAACCCAGGTTCCTGGCACAGTGAAGCAGCAGTGCTAACCACTGTGCTGCCCCAGAGCTTAGTTAGTCTAGGAAATTGCTACCTAATCACCTAACTATAATTGGCTTAAGTCTTATACAAATAAAAAGTTCACATCATGAATGTTTAATCAGATGACTTGTGGAATTTTGAGTCTTTTTCACTTAATAATGTCTCTCCTATAGCAAAGCTTTCAGCTCATCAAAATATGGTTAGGTTAATGATTGAAACATGTATTTTCGTAAAGGGCTACATTTTCTTGAAGCAGGACATCAAGTCTTGCCCTTGCACAGTGAGATTTTATTTGAAATAGATATATACACAAGTACAGAACTTGATATAACAGGGCAAAAGCTTGTATATCTCCTTAACCAATTAGATTGGAGGATCACGACTTTAACACTGCAAACTTTGAGAAAGAAGTGTGTGTCATTGCATTCAATGTCAAATCAGGTACAAAAAGAGACATCAAACACGAGAGAAAGGACTGTGAAAGATAGAAAGAAGCAGAAAGTCAATGTTAATTTAAAAAATCCTTTTAAATCTCTAACAATTAAAATCTGTAGGAATAAGATTCATAAAAATTCATTTTTAGCAATATTAAAGTAATGATTGCTAGTTATTAACACACTTTTTTACAAAGATATGTAAGATTAGTATAGGCAGTACTCAACTTTCCTTGTTCAATTTAGTAAATATGTAGGGAATTCATGCCAATCAATGTTTATCAATGGCAATGCAGATCTGATGAAGTGTCAACTAGACCGAAATGTTAGCTTGCTCTCTCTCATAAATGCTACCTGTCCCGCTATGATCTCCAGTATTTGTTGTTTTCGGCACAGAATCCAGCATCTTCAGTAATTTGCTCCTGCAATGCAGATCCTGACACTTTGTCTTTGCATCTACATTTATGGCAAACCCAGACAGCAAATTTTGGATATTTTGTTCAGCTTCAAATCTGCCCTTGCCTTTAATTTCAGGACTTTTTTGTGTATAAATAACGATGAGTATCTACCTTTATTACTAACTTGAAAGGAAAATCTCAGACATTTTTTTTTGTTGTTATGATGTGGAGGTGCCAGTGTTGGACTGGGGTGGACAAGGTCAAAAATCGCATGACACTGGGTTATAGTCCAACAGATTTATTTGAAGGCACAAGCTTTTTGAGCCTTGCACCTTCTTCAGGTGATATCATTGAAGAAGGGGCAAGGTTCCAAAAGCTTGTGTTTTCAAATAAACCTGTTGGACTATAACCCGGTGTCGTGCAATTTTTGACCTCTTTGTTAAGCATACTCATTTTATATTCACCACAACTCCAGAAATTATTTTATTATACTTTCCAATACATAACTGACAGCTGTTTTCCTATTAGATGTATGAAAGATGCTTAAAAGTGAAGATGGCTTCTTGCCTGGAGAGCAATTTGACATGACCTTGATCAGCAGAAGAGACAATAAACAGAAAGAGGCACTGAAGAAGTTTTCTCTGTGTTTAGACCTTGGGCACATTCCTGTAAGTAAGGTGAATTCAACAGTCAATAACAGAAGAGTGAGTATCTTTGGAGATCAGTCAGTGATAATAAAGGATGAAATTGGAATGACCAGAAATGTCTTTTATGGGTTTTACAGTAAATTTAACCTCCCACCAGATGTTGACCCAAACTCCCTGAGCCTCAGTATTTCAGGTCAACACAGTGTCACTCTCAGTGGTGATCGGTACCAGCTAAATGTCATCAATACCAAAAGGCTTTCTAAGTTTCCAGCACTCAATACAGCGGACAACAATGACCCTGTAGTAAAGCAAAAATTGGCGTTTCTCGAAAACTATAGTGAACAGAATGTACAGCCGAAGACTGGAAGCCTGTCAAATGCCCCTGAGCAGCAAGCCCCCGATTTGAAGCCAAGCCCAACTGACACACTGAAATTAGAATACAATTTACCATTGCCTCAGGACACAGAAGAGGATTTCCCACCACCCCCGCCAGAACTGCTATACAGCTCCTCAATGTTAGTAGGTAAAAAGGCTAGACAGCCCACAGGTATAGTCCAACCACTAATTGATTTTTTTGAAAATGAAATCAAGAATAATTCACCAAACCCCACAAAGCCTGAACCCATCCCAAAGGTAAAAGTGAAAAAATTTCCAAGGGTATCAAAGCGTTACCGCAAGTCTAAACGAGAGACAAATAGTGTAGGAACACAGACTGAGCCAATGCAAATGTCTGACATTGTCAAATCCAGAAACGAGAATAAGCAATACAATATGAAATCAAGTAAAGAATCCCACTATGGCACCATGGGCCAGCTGTACATTCCTTCAAACGATAGTTACAATCTCCGACAATATCCAGCCAAACATGACACTAAAATATACAAATCAGAGTTAAGAGATATTGTCCTGGAAACACAGGCTCAAGATAAACGATATGTCATCAGAACTAATCCAGAAGCTAACTTACGAAAGGTCCATCCAGAAAACAAGCAACGTAAGCCAACATCATATCCTCAAGCCACACAATTTGTACCTGTCAACCTATCTCGAAGTGCACAGCGTCGTTCAGAACCCCAATCACAAGCTGTAAAAGATTTCAGCGAAATCCGTGCAGTAAGTGAGGAAGATTTCCTGACTATCAACCCAAGCGACAAGAATCATATTCCAAAATCATATCTCCGTGGTAGGCAAATTCCCCAGGAAATTCCATTAGATATGTGGATAAATTATCTCAGAGAGCCAAACTGAAATTGTCCAGGATGTCAAAAGATTCTCTACAAAAATGGCCAGCATCTTCAAGTACAAAATATTTCAATCACCCAACGCTTCATGCAAGCAAATTCGTTTCAACATTTCCTCCCCAGTGAGATGACTGTCCAAAAGCTGAATTCCAAATTGTATAAGCTCTCGGAATAATCTACTCTGAAAATGAGCTCCTGGAAACATCCTGGAACACAACAGTAGTGCATGTCCAAAACAAAGATTATACAAGCAACCCCTTCAAGAATTTCAAGATCTCTCAATGCAGCCAATTAAAAGGTAACCCGCCCAACTAACGCCTGAATCCGGCCTCCAAAGAATTCAAAATTTCTTGCACTATTCCAAAGGCAGGAATGAACTTTCAAATGTCCAACTGCAATATTGTGAATTTCTCCCAGCAACAACGCAAATTATTACCAAAGAGTGCAGCACTTTGCATTCCTGTTTCTCCTACAAAAATTGCCATTCCACACAATACCATATATCAATATGTTCCTGTGCCATGTCATCTTTGAAACATGTCTGTTCTCTGTATTATGTGAAGGAGAATCTAACACAGAAGAGTTACCCCAGACTGTAAGCAAGCAGAAGAAATCAGAGACAAGAAAATAAGGCCAATAGGTACTTAAAATGTCTTTAAGCATCATTTTTGGAACTTCTGGAGCAGTTAGTTAAAGCAGTAACTGATTTTACATTGGTTTGAAGCACTGAGCAGCAATTTCCTGTTATGTAGTTGTGTAATAAAACTTGGCTCAATATTTCCTCCAGTTGTCCAAATTCATTTGAACAATGGGCTAGATTTTTGTCTCATTGTGAAGATGGCAACAGTGCCAGGAATGGCAAAACTTTTGGGATGGATCTTGCTATGATCGTGGACCAGAACACCAGATTTCAGTTACAGTCTGGCTAGGGCTTAGTAATTTTATTTTTTTAAATGAGATCCAGGGGAATTGCTAAGAGAATAAAATTGTAAGGTTTCATACTTTTGAACAAACAGCAAGAAACTTTTCTACAAATATGAGAATAGTAGTGGAATCTATAACGCATGTGCAATTAGAATTAACACTCTTTCAGCCTCAGTATTTCAGGCAAACACAGTATCACTGCTAGTAGTGATTGATAGTAAATATGGATAATAGACTGTGATCAGACACCCAACAGCAGACATAAAATTGAAAATATATCAAGACAAATCTCATTGATTCTCAACAATTCCTCCAGGGCATAATGACACAACAAATCTAATTAAATTCTCACAAGGGGTAACAATTCTTCACTTTTGCCAATCTACCCTGAACAATCAAGAGCTGTTCTATTATGGACTACCTCAAGAGCTGCTCTTGTTCTGGTCAATCACCCTCCTTTCCTGACTCTACACCCCCTGAACTCTGAAAAGTACACTCCAGTACTTCTCCAGGTTTTCACCGGCAGCTGGTTTCACCAAACCACAAGTACCCTTGTTTTCTTTTCTTTCCTGAGTCCCAATTTACATGGCTGCATCAAATCAAATATGACTTTTGAGCTATTCAACAGTCCCCTTCTGCCCTTTTAGCTGTACTGAACTGTTAATGGCACATGGCTTTCTCTAAATTGCCACAACTCCCAGGACTTTTCTGGAGTTGTGTCTCCAACACTTAGTTACTAACTCCTGGAATTTCTACCTGAGTTCTAACAGCACAGAGATATCCAACTGTTCTTAACCTCTCACTGAATCCCCTACACTGAATCCATGTAGTTCAATTGCCTTCCCAGCAGTACCAATAAAAGCAGCACTGCTTAACATGGAGTAAGTTTCTCTCTCTTTTTTTCTCTCTCTCTCTCCTTCTAACTCTCTCTATATATAGATACACACACAGACTTTCTCAAGTGCCTGTAATTTTTAAACTTCTCTCCAGTGATCCTTGAACTGGTCCTAATTGACCTGTTGAAAATATTGCAAACAGTACCACTTCTTTTTCTAAATAGAATTACAAGAAGCTAACGTATTTTGAAACACCCCTACAGCTCCTTTGGAGCAATGTGCACTGAATGCTATATTCCCATAGAGTGGCTGGTTTCTGCAACACTAAAATGCTTACAGAAAGAAGGATTCATCACAACCTTCTGCTTCTAACAGTCACAAATGTTGAGGTATCCACTGCTGTAGCACTTTAAAGACATATTGAAAGTGCTGCTCGACAAACATGCAGGCTAATTGTCCAGCATTTTTAAACGTCTGACGAGCTGGCTACATTGCCCACATCACTGTGAGCTTAGAGTCAGAGACTTGGGCAAGATATAAAATATTTATCTGCATTTTTTTCCTAGTATTGGTCTACTGTTCACTTTGTGGTGTAACCCAGATATGCACAACATAACCCAATTCACTCCACATATCCATTCCACTCTTAACCAATCAATGAACTGACAACTCGGTCCCCTGAAATGATTAAAATGTTTTAAAGCTCATGTGAACATGAAGAGTCTTCTCCATCTACTGCTCATCTCTGCCATTGCTATTCATTGACAACTGCATCAAAGCATCATTGACATAGACAGGACAGGAAGATCCGGGTGCAAGGACACAAACAGATAGGGTCTCGATGATTTTCTCAGCCAGCAGCATCCTTAGCAATACCACTGACCAGAAAAACTGAGTCTTCATTTCTTCATTGAGATGCTAAATGTCCTGTGTCTTCCCAACCCTGCACATTTTCACTGGGCCAATTTGCAGATTGGGAATGGTCAGGGTCATGAAGACAATAAGGACTGCAGATGCTGGAAGTCAGAATGAATAAAATGTGGGGCTGGAGAAGCACAGTAGGAGAGACAGCATCAGAGAAGCAGTAAAGTCGACGTTTCGGGTCTGGACCCTTCATCAGGACTGGGGAGGGGGAAGGGAGCTCAGAAATAACTAAAGGGAGGGGTAGTGCTGGGGTAAAGGTAGGTGGGATGGTGTTAGGTGGATGCAGGTGGGGGTTGTAGAGATTGGTCAGTGGGAAGGGTAGAGCGAATAGGTGAGAAGGAAGATTACAGGTTTTATCAGGTCAAGAAGGTGGGGATGAGAGGGAGGGCTGAACATGGAATGAGGCTGGCGGTGGGGAGAATTTGAAGCTGGTGAACTCTGCATGGAGGCTATTGGGCTGTAAGCTCCCGAGGTGGAATATAAGGTGTTGTTCCTCCAATTTACGTGTGGCGTCATTGTGACATTGGAGGAGGCCCAGGATGGACATGTTGCCAAGAGAGTGGGAAGGGGATTTGAAATGGCTCGCAACCGCAAGGTGGTGTTGATTGGAGTGTACAGAGTGCAGATGCTCTGCGAATCAGTCACTGAGTCTGAGCCTGGTCTCCCTGATGTAGGGGAGATCATATCATGAGCAATGGATGCAATTGACCAGGTTAGAAGGCACACAGGTGAATTTCTGCCAGATTTGGAATGATTACTTGGGGCTTTGGATGGAGGTGAGAGGGGAGTTATAGGGGCAGGAGTAGCACCTCCTGTGGTTGCAGGGAAAGGTGCCAGGTGTGATGGAAAGGTTGGTTCGGAGTGTGGGGCTGACGAGAGAGTCACGGAGTGAGCAGCACCTATGGAAAGCAGAAAGGGGTGGGGAAGGAAATATATATAACAAGGTGTAGAGCTGGATGAACACAGCAGGCCAAGCAGCATCAGAGGAGCAGGAAAGCTGACATTTCGGGTCTAGACCCTTCTTCAGAAAGGGAAGGAAATATCTTTTTGGTGAGGGGCCTGATTGCAGGTGACGAAAAGGGCAGAGGATGATGCACTGGATTTCAGGCAGTTTGTGAGGACCGGATGACTTTATCCTTATTGTTGTTGGGGTAGGGGTTGAGGGCAAATGTGCAGAAAATGCAGAAGATGCGGTTGAAGACATTATGAATAATGGGAGAGGGGAAATTATAGTCCTTGAAGTAGGAGGATATCTGGGATGTCCAAGAGTGGAATGCTTCATCGTGGAGCAGATGCAGTGGAGCCGGAGGAACTGGGAGTAAGACATTGCATTTTTTCAGGATGGTGAGTGAGAGGAGGTGTTGTCGAGGGAGTTGTGGGGGTCAGTGGGTTTGAAATAGATGTCAGTGCAAAATCGGTTGCCAGAGCTTGGGACGGAGAAGTCCAGGAAGGGGAGGGAGGTGTCAGAGATGGTCCAGGTGAATTTGAGGTCGGGGTGAAAGGTGTTCGTGAAGTGGATGAACTGTTCGAGCTCCTCGTGGGAGCACAAGGCAGCACCAATACAGTCATCGATATAGCAGAAGAAGAGGTAAGGAATGGTGCCAGTGTAACTGCAGAAGAGGGACTGTTCCATGTATCCTATGAAGATAGCCCAGACCCATATAGGTGCTCATAGCCACCTCTTTAGTTTGTAGGAAGTGGGAGGAGTCAAAGGAAAAATTGCTGAGGGTGAGGATTAGTTCTGCCAAGCAAATGAGAGTGTCGGTGGAGGGGGTCTGGAGGGGGAGGGGGAAGAAATGGAAGGCTTTTAGGCCCTCCTTGTAGAGGATCCAGGTGTACAGAGACTGAATGTCAATGGTGAAAACGAGCTGTTGGGGGCCGAGGAATTGAAAGTCTTGGAGAAGGTGGAGGTTGTGGGTTGTGTCCCAAAGTGAGGAGTTCCTGGACCAAAGGTGAAAGAATGGAGTTAAGGTAAGAGGAGATTAGTTCAGTGGGGCAAGAGCAGGCAGGACAATGGGTTGACTGGGGCAGTCAGGTTTATGGATTTTAGGTAGGAGATAGAAATGGGCAGTGGAGGGTCGGGGAACTATCAGGTTGGAGGCTGTGGACAGGAGATCTCCTGAGGTGATGAGGTTATTGATGGTCTGGGAGATGATGATTTGGTGATCAGAAGTGGGGTCATAATCGAGATGATTGTAGGAGGAAGTGTCAGAGAGTTGGCATCTGGCCTCAGCGATTTGGACGTTAGTACACCATACTACCTCCGCACCCTGTCAGCAGGTTTAATAGTGAGGTTGGGGTTGGAGCGGATGGCTGGGCATTCTGATGGGGAGAGGTTGGAGTAGGTGAGAGGGGTGGAGAGATTCAGGCAGTTGGTGTTGCGATGGCAGTTGGAGATGAAGAGGTCAAGGGAGGGTAGGAGGCTGGGGGTGGTGTCCAGGAGGATGGGGTTTGTTAGAGATGGGAGAGCAGGTTTTCAGGTGGTGTGTTGGGCTCCTGTTCAAAGAAATAGATGCGGAGGCAGAGGTGGAAAAAAGTGTTTGACATTATTCGCAGAGACCTTCTAAGATCAGATTGCCATTGACTGCCTTAAAAAAAAAGAAACTACTTTTCCTCCCTCCAGTGATTTAATTGTGTTGGTGAATTTTGGAAGACTTCTGAAGCTCACCTTGTTGCAGACTTCATGAATCCACAGAGAAACCTGCCCATATTTCAGGTAGGTGTTAAATTGTTACACAACTCCAAATTTCATTATTAAATGCTACATTCTAAGTTATATTGTGTTTCTATCACAACGGATAATTTAGGTGCCCATTAAATTGACCAGCATTGTGTCGGCTTTGAGATGAATTAGAAAACATTTCTCTGAGAAAGAGTGTTATTGTGCATTCGAAACAAAAAAAGTTACCAACTCTATTGCTTTACTTTATTACAAATTCAAATATCCACCATGCAATAAATTTGAAAACTATTGGTCTGCAAGCTTTCAGTAGGAGAAAAAAAATGGACATTTACTTGTGGACTGCTTTGATTAGCAGGAGATGTTATAGGTTAGAATAAAAATAAC